CACCTACATCTACACACACACACACAACACACAATGCATGGAAGAAACTCAGAAGAGGATGGGGCGGGGCAGAATAATGCCTCCCTCATCAGAGACCCAATCACCGGATGATCTTTGTACTTAATTGTTTTTCTTTGAGGGTAGGGGTGGGGAGGGACAGGAGCGGGGCTGAAATCCCTGGGATGTAAAGACAAAAGGGACCACAAGATCTGTTTAATAAGAAAACTCATAGAAAGATTGGGGATTTCTTTCAAAGGCAGCAGTATTCTTTTCCAAGTCACAAGGAAGAATCTATTCCTGGGCCCGTCCTTATTGTCAGTGCTGCTCAGGTCCTGGCCTCCTTTGTTTTTTTCAAAGTTACATCCACTAATGGAGGCCAGCAGCACACACAATCTAAAAACTATTCGTATTCGGTTTTTTAACCCATCTCACTCGTGGTTTGGCAGTAGGTTTAACGCCTTCCTAATTATTTTACTTTGGCAGTTTCAAATGATTGCCATTCTCCCTAACTCAGAAAAGGGAGAAAAGGGAGACCGGGATTCAGAATTGATTACAAGGAATCCACGAAAGAAGGAAGTTCATGGGGATGATTAAGAATCCACTCACGTTTTCTCCCCCACGAAACACCACATTGCTTCATTTCTTGCTATGATTTTTTTGGAGACAGGAAATTCTTTTTTCATTATCAGTTCTTTTACTGTTGGTACTTTGCACTGTAGATGCTTAATAAATGTAGGTTAGGTTACGTTGACTTCTTGCTAGTCTTTGTGATTTTAATCAGCTCTGGAATAATTGACTCTGAAAAGAGGTCAGCCCCACGGCCCACCAGCCCTCTTAATTCAAAGGACAAAACACCAGTCATTACCTGGAGATTTGACTCTAGTTACAATCCCATATGCTTATTACCAAAATTGACTCTTTAGCATAAACTGGGGTGAGGCCCTGCTCAGGTGAGGAGATGCCTCCCCGTGGAGTTACCCTGAACGGTGCCTGGGTGCCATGGACGCACCTGGGCTCTGCAGCTGACCTCTCGTCTGAACGTGAAGTCCCCTTTGGAATGTTGGTCTGGGGACCAGTTCCTGCAGGCAGCAGCCCCTTTGGCCTCCTTTAATTCAGTGTAGACCAAGCTCACTCTGCCTTAGTTAGGACTTTGGAGTTCTCATTTCTCATCCATGAGGGACAAAGAAATGGCCTCTTCCAGGTACTCCAAGTGCCCCCCACTTATTAACGCCTCCTGGCTTAGGGCGGCTGATAGGACGGCTCCCCAAATGCTGGTGATTACATGCTAGTTTTGCCGTCTCGGAGTGGATCTGGAACAAATGGGAGCGGAGATCAGTCCTCGGTACAAAATCTTGCCAGGCAGCTCTTCCCCTGGCTTCTGCAGCTTTTCCTTTAACTAACTAACCAGCTGTACTCCTGAGGTTCCCTTTTTCCGTAGGGGCTGCCGCTGGGCTAGACTCGCAACCGTTTGCCGTCTCATTGCATGGGGAAGGTAACTTGGCAATGCGTGCCGATTCCTAGGTGACGGAACCGTTGACCGTTAACACCCTGATGTCTGTCTGTCTTGTTTCAGTGGCTCTGTCCTTAGACTGTGGTTACTGCCTTGTTGGCGGAATCAAGATGACTCGATTCATCTGCAAGAATGTGGGGCTGAGCACAGGCAGGTTCTGCATCATGCCCAAGTCGTCCTGGCCGCCTCCTAGTTTCAGGGTGAGAGCTCGCTCTGGCGCTCTCCTGGGGTGCAGGGCTCGGTCAGGTCCTGGCTGCCTCCTGGTTTTGGGTGAGGGCTCGCTCCCATGCTGTCCTGGGGCTTCATCTGGTCCTGGTTTCAGTCCTGGCTCAGGCAGCTCTGACTGTGCTTGTGAAACCTTTAGCTTACATCAGTGTCCCAAGAAATGGCAGCATTAAAGTAACAAAATGGGGTTGGGGAGAGGAGGGAAAGGGGGAGGAGAAGGGCTCCCATCTCATCCCGGGTCGTCTGATTTCCTTTCCACAGGCAGTCGCTAAGGTTGGCTTTGTGGAGCAGGCGCCCTTTGGAATCCTGCCAGCTGTCTTTGAGCTCGTCCCAGGACAGGAGCTGCTCCTGGAGGTAGGGAGGTGGGCTGGGTTGGAGCCTTTCCGGGCCAGTGGCTGGGGTTTGACCAAAGCCCTGGAGCTCTGCTGTTCATTCCTTTCTACACTTTCTAATCAGAGATCTGCTACCTGGAGGTTCACAGACATTTATTGTGCAAAGAAATTGAGCCATTTGAATGACTCCGATGGGGGAAATGCACTATGGTTCATTATTATTTATGCCAAGTGTCTTTCTCTTCTGATCGCTTCTGAGAATCTTCCTTCTGGGCTTCGAGTTGGGTTGGAGTGCCCTCCCTCCTCCGCTACCTCAGAGTCATGTTGGGTGTCCCTGTTGCCCTTTTGCAATGCCTCCTCCTCTCAGAGAGCCTTTCTTCTGCTCTGCCTCTACCTTGGCTGTACCTGGTTGTGGACAGAAAGCTCCTGGCTGGAGGTCAGGGACTGGCTTTGGCCTCTCTTTGTATCCCCAGCACTCAGCGCAGTGCCTGACACGTAATAAATGCTTATTCATTGATTAAGCTCATCCCCTTGGATGACCACCATTTTGTCATCCCTGTAGCTGTCTTCAGAATCCCTTTGCCTCTAGCCTTGACTTCTCCACCCTCTCCATCCGATGTTCCCTCCCAAATAAGAATGTGTGAAGCACAGCTCGTCCTGTCTCCCCACTCGCGCACCCCAGGCAGGAGATGGCATGAGTGGAAGAAGAAAGGGTCGGATTTGCAGGCAAAGGAACTGGGTTCAAATGTCAGCACTGCTGCTTGTCACTTGTGTGAGCTCTCGCGGGTCACCTCGCGCCTCGAGGCTTTAGCTGTCTCGGGTCACCTCGCGCCTCGGCGCTTTGGCTCTCTTGTCTCTAAAACGAGGACGCTGCAGGAGACCACTTCTGAGGTCCCTCCTATTCTAAGTCTTGGCTCCTGTGAAATTGGGCAGCTGCCCTAGGAGTTTGCTTTGCTCTCTGGGCGAGAGGTGGGTTTGTTGCGTTGGCTCCAGGCGTCCAGACTCCCTCCCTCCACGCAGTGACGAACATCATCTTTCTAATGCGTGCCTCTCCTTCTTGTGAGGTCCTTCCTTTCCCCAGAGCTGTTAGTGGCTCGAATCAAATGAATTCCCTGATAGTGTGTGAGTGAAGGGACCACCCCAACTCCCCCATTTTGAGATTTCCCCAGCTCTAGCTTTCTGTGGGTGATGAAGAATGGTTCCCCCAGCCCAGGACTCAGTCTCTGGCTCGGAGGAACGGTTTGGGGGGGGCATGCTGTGGGCAGCTTTCCTTCATCATCATTAGGGATCCCCCCCTCCAGAGCTTGAGCTCAGCCTCGGGCGTCATACTTCTGTGTCTGGACCCTGCTGGTCCTCAGTTCCTCTCCCACACACTTCCTCCTACAGGATGGAGTGTTCCCTCTTAGGCTCCTGGGGGTCCCCACTTGGGTCCTGGGGCTCGGGGAGCCAGTGTGTTGGCTCATTTCGATCCGGTCACCTTAGCTCGGTTTCTGAGTACGGTGACATTTGTACTTGAGCACCAGGGACTCAGCTCCATTCAGGAAACATTGATGAAGCCCCTCCCTCCCCTGCCCAGGGAAGAGGTCCTCGTGTCCACAGCGCCCAGCACAGTGCCTGGCACAGAGCAGAGGCTGAATAAGTGCTGATTGCCCCAGTGCCCACCTGGCAGGCTGAGTGACCATGGGAAGGCCAGTGACCCCCAAGCGCCTCAGTTTCCTACCTGTGAAATGGGGTGATGGCGAGGAAAGTGCTGTGTTGTTCTTCCTGTTTGGGAGGAAAAGAATGTCCCTTGAAGAGCTACCACCGAGTCCTAAAGAGATGCCCAGGGCTCCTCCACCGGACTGGGAGGAACAGGTTTTGGTGCGTGCTCACGCTCTCTCTCACGCTGGGGCCATGTTCCCCATGCCCCAGAATCACAGGCCATCCCTCCTTCACCAGGTCAGGTGGGGGGGGGGTCATCCTTCCTTCACCAGGTCAGGTGGGGGGGTCATCCTTCCTTCACCAGGTCAGGTGGGGGGGTCATCCCTTCTTTACCATGTCAGGTGGGGGGGTCACCCCTTCTTTACCAGGTCAGGTGGGGCAGCTGCTCCCCTCTTTTCAGATTCTTGACACTTGCAGGGGCAGGGACCAGGGTTGGTGTTTACTTGCTGTGCTTGTGGGAGACCAAGAGCCCTGGTAGGAGCTCACCCTCAGGACACAGGGGAAGGATGAGGCCTCAGCCTTGGTCCAGGCTGGGCTCACAGGACTGCCCTTCCATACGCTCTGTGCTCCAGCCCCAACACCGCACCCCATCTTTGCACAGGCATCCCCACAACTGGACTCGTTCCCTTCCTCCTTCTACCATTTTTTTTGTTCTGCTGTTTGGGAATCCGCTGATGCCGTGTCCTTCCTACCCAAGACCTGCCCCCCTCCTTGGCACTGTTGGTGCCCCGCCGATGCCTTTGTATGTACTTTACACTTTCTTATCTGTGGCATTGTATCCCTGGTAAAGAGTCAGCTCCCTCTTGTTTCTGTCTCTGTCTCCAACACCTGGCACCATATGGCACTTAATAAATGCTTATTGGAAGGGCAAATGGAGAGACAGTGGCAAAGGGAGACTGACGGACAATGAGAAAGAGGGGCCACAGGAAGGGACAAGGGAGAGAGACACCCCGCGGGGCAGGCTGTGGACTCTGCCATGTCCCCTTAGCATCTGGAGATTACAGATCGACCCTGCACTGTTTTGTAGGCGTAGTGTCTCTGAGCCCCATTTTTGAGCCGCGGTAAATTTTAGCTCCAGAGTCTTGCCTGTATGTGCCTATGCTGTGACGTTCTCCAAGAAGTCTACCAGTCAGAGCCCCAGTGACCCACGTGTGAGCGCTGTCCTTCATAGGAGGTGGTGCCTGCTCTAATCCCTCTCACTGCTCCTAGCTGTCCACTGGGATTCATTCCCATAAACCCCACAAGGCCGTTATAGTGTCCTTTTTTTTTTGTTTTTTTCTTTTTCTTTCTTTTTTTTCTTTTTTTTTTTTTTTTGGTGAGGCAGTTGGGGTTAAGTGACTTGCCCAGGGTCACACAGCTAGTAAGTGTTATGTGTCTGAGACCGGATTTGAACTTGGGTCCTCCTGAATCCAGGGCCGGTGCTCTATCCACTGCGCCACCTACCTGCCCCCATTATAGTGTCCTCTATCGTGCCTTTCCTGAGTCCATCAGGATGAAGCATGAAATCAGGAAGGAGGAGAGGGTCTTTTTTCTTGGGGAAAGCTGAGGGCCTTCTTAGTCACATCGTCAATGTGCAAGAGCAAGCCAGGCTCCATCTAAGGTGAATCGGCCTAGCTCCAGGGTAAACAGGCTGCTGAGCAAAGCCTTTGGAGTAGAGAGGGACAGAGAAAGGAAGCTGAGCCTAGCTGAGGAGATGGGTGCTAGGGGTGGTTCTCAAGGGCCCTCTGAAAAGGCCTGAGGAAGAGGCAGTCCTGAATTCTTAGGAGGTGGAGCCTAGGAAACACGCCAGGGTCTTGGAGTTGCCAGGAGGCAGTGTTTTACCTGAAGCCAGAGTAGGTAGATGTGGGGCCCAGGTAGGGTTAAGCCAGTCTTCTCCGGTTTCTGGAGGCCTGGAATAGAGTGTTTGCCTTTGACCCGAGGGAGAGGATGCCTAAGGAGGAATGAGCAAGGCAGCCCAGTGACCCTAACAGTTGGGCTAAACAGTTGACCTAAGGAGGGGAATGAGCCTAGAGGACCTGGAAGGAGCTTGGTCCGGCAAGAGTTGGAGAGCCCCTCAGAGTGCAGGAGAACCCTCTTCTCTCCCTGGACTGGCTTGGGTATACCAGCTTTAGGAACTGGGGAGAAGGGAGGGGCATGGTCAGAGAGCAGCAAGCCAAGGAAAGCTCGTCAAGAGCCCATTTACTGAAGGAGAAATCTCCCTGCTTGTTGCCCCTGGGTAGGAAGCCAAGTGCTGACTGGACAAGTCCTCTGTTTGAGGTTGCCCTCCCTACCAAATTAGAGCTTGTGTCTGAAGTGATAGGCCCAGATAGGGTTTGTTTTCTCTTAGTGGTAATCTGCACATAGAGAAGTCCCAGGGCAGGAGAGGGCTTTCATGCCGTGCTGTGCCAGAGGATGTCCTTCCACCTAGGGGTTGTGCTGAGAGACCAGTTCTCAGGAAGGCAGCACGTGGGCATCCTTGGGGCCCTTGAGCCTTGCTCTAATCTGCGGCATGCTTGGGTGATTGCTCAATACCTTTGGCTTCCCCTCCAGTCCAGTCTCTTCCCGAGAATGTGGCTACAAGTAGGTCGAAGAGCCGATGTGCCTCGTTACTGGTTTGGTTGCTCTGTCTCAGGAGTTGTGGCCCCAGGGGACACCCTGGCCATCAGGCCTTTCCAGCCATGCCTCCTGGGACTGGCTCTAGCCAGAGGGAGAAAGAGGGGGAAGGGGAGGAAGATTCTTTAGGGTTACTTTCTTGGCAGGAAGTTGGGGCAACATCATGGTCAGTGACATGGGCTCTCTGTTTCAGGTGCTGTTTCTTCCGACTTCCCTGGAAACTGTGGAGAAATCTTTCATCATTGTGTGTGATAATTGTCAGATCAAAGAAGTCATCATTTCAGGTTTGTCTGCCACCCTCGGGAGCATGTGGGCCGGCTGACTGGGAGCTCCGTCCTGCTTCCACTGCAGCCCCTCTTTCTGGGTTGGGATTGGCTGGGGTCATTGCTTTTCCTCCTTCAGACCCTCGTCGCCTCTCACCTCCATTTTGGCAGCCTCCTTCTAACTGGCCTCCCTGCTTCCAGTCTCTCTCCCCTCCAATCTGTCTTCTACTCAGCTGCCAAAATGATTTTCCAAAAGTGTAGGTCTGATCATGTCATTCCCCTGTTCAGCAAACTCCTGTGTCTCCCTGTTACCTTCAGGATCAAATAGAAACTTTTCTCTCCAGTTCGTAAAGCCTGCCACGACCTCGTCCCTTCCCATTTTCCCAGCCTCATTATACAGAGCACCCCCACCAGCTGTGCCATCCAAAGCTCTCTACTTTCTCCCTGTTCTGCATGTCCAGTCTCCTCCTCACCTTTGCCTCCTGGGATTTCTCTATTCCTGCTCGATTCAGTTAAAATCCCCCTTTTTACATACAGTCCTTCCTGATCCCTCTGGCTGCCAGGGCCCTCCCTCCCATCACCACCTTGCATTCATTTGTATGGATTCTCATATGTATATGGGTTGTCTCGCGTTAGGCCAGTTTTTGAGGAAGCAAAAAAACCATTTCGCTCTTACCTTTGTATTCTCACCCCCTAGCACATAGTAGGTGCTCAAAGAATGCTGACTGACTGACAGACCGACCGTACATTCATACTGCCTGGCACAGCTCATTCACCGTCTGTCGTGTCAGTATAGGCGTCTCTCACATTCATGTCTCAGTCCAGACCCATTTTCCGAGCTCCATCTGATTCATCTTTTCCAGGGTCTATGGGACATCTCCACCTAGATGTCCAATCATCACCTTGAGCTAGTATGGCTAAAACAGATCGATTCCGCTGCCCTCAAATGCAGTTCTTTTTCCCAGCTACCCCTACCATGTGTCCTGGTTTTCGGTCTCTGATGGGGGCCTCCTGTGGTTTCCACCACGGCTGGGAATGCTGAGCACATGCTTGGGGGGCACCTGGCAAGTAGTCGAGAGGACCACACCCTCATGGACTAGGCTTGGAACGCTCCCCTCAATGTTGCCTTGATGTCACTAACCTGCCCCAAAGCACTGTTACCGGCAGTTTGGATCAGCCGGTGGCCCCACATCCCCGAAGGGTTACTCCTTCCATGTTAGATCACTACTCACTCTTTCAGGACGCTGCCTGAAAAGGGCGACAGTTTAGCTAACGGCCATGGCCGTGCCCTCCCTAGAGTAGATTAGAGAAGGAGAGAACCAGGGCTTAGAGCCCGGGAGGTGAGGATGATAGGGTAGGCCCAGCTGCTTAATACTGAATCACTGGGTGACTTTGCAAAATTGGCTTCTCTTTTTGAACCTCAGTTACCTCCCTTTGAAATGATGGGGTTGGACGAGATGACCTTGGGTCCCTCTGAGTTCCCTGATCTTGGAAGTCTGACTCCAAAGACGTGTTGAGAATTAGTTTGGGTTGGGATGTTTTTCTAAGGAACCCTCTGAAGGATGGAACCATTTTCAAGGGTTTGGTCTTCTGTGAGACAGCCTCTGTTTGTTTTGGGATAGGGGTATTTGTTTAATTAACTGCCTAAGGAGGACTTGACTGTATGCTGGTTCTATGAGACAGTCTTGTTTACCGAGCACTGGGGTGGGCTTTTCCATGCCGAGCCAACAAGCATTTATATATTTATAATTTATAATTTATAATTACAATTTATATATTTATATTTAGTTTATTTATATTTATATATTTATTATATATTTATATTTATATATTTATTTATATTATTTATATATAAATATTTATATATTTATACTGTCTACAAAGCCCTGTGTGAGGTGCTGGATTTTCAGAAACAACTGGGCAATTCCTGGCCTTTTATGCAGGAGACCAAGGGGAACTATTACTTCTAAACTGATAGGTATATACGTGATCATTTTTAAAATCTATTTATTTATCTTTAGTTTTCAACGTTCACTTTTATAAGATTTTGAGTTCTAAATTTCCCCCTTCCCCAAGATGGCTCGTGCATTCTGATGCATATTTCCACGTAAGTCATGTTGTGAAAGAAGAATCAGAACAAAAGGGAGAAACCATGAGAAAGAAAAACCAAACAAACCAAAAAGCAAATAGTCTGCTTGGCTCGGCGGTCAGACTCCAGAGTTCTTTCTCTGGATGTGGACAGCATTTTCCATCGTGAGGCTTGGAGTTGTCTTAGATCTGCATATGTGATCACTGAGGAAGATGGAAAGGGTACTGTCTCTGAGAGGGATTAGAAAGGCTTCTTTCTCTTGGAGGACGGCAGGTCGAGATCCTCCCAGCCAGCCGCGAGGAGAAGACAGCACATCACTCTCCCGAGAGAGCCCTGAGAGATCATGCTGAATTTGGGAACAGCAAGGAGGCATCCAAAGAGGAGAGCTAGTGGGCAGTTAGCCTAGAAAGAGAGGCGGGAGGGCTGTAAGTGTCAAACTGAAGAATTTCTGTTTTTTTATCCTAGTGGCGGTAGGGAGCCAGGGAAGTTCCTTGAGGAGGACACTGGCTAGGAAGCTGGTCTCTATGGCGCCTAGTGCCTGCCTACAGGCTGTCCTTACTGGGAAACCAGGCAGCAAAATATATGTCAAAACCCCAGGCATGTAGTCGCTTTCTTTGTGATTCCACACTAACCCACTGCGGGTACCATTGTCCTCCAGCTATTGTCCCTGTGTGCTTCTGAGGGCAGAGATGCTGGCACAGCGCCAGGATTTGAATTCCAGCTTTGGTATTTAATATCTGTGTGGCGCTTTTTTGGGGGGGTGGGAGGGGTCAGCTCTCTCCAGGCCTCAGCTCCTCAGCCTGAAACAAAGCAGCTAGCCCAGGGGGTTGCTTTCTGCTTGTTGATGTTTTGTTTTGTTTGGAGGTGGAACTCTGGCAAGGCTGGGGAGGGAAGGGGCAGGCCGAGGAAGCCAACACAATTGGAGGGGTCACAAACATGGATATTGAAGGCCCCAAGTACAAGGGCAAGGAAGAGGGTGGACCCCATGGCCCAGGCAGGTCCTGAAGTCCAGGGAAAGCAGCAAGGAGGCCTGGCTCTGGCCAATGATGTGGATGGAGGAATGGCCACAGGCAGAGGGCGGAGCAGGCCATGGCACGTGTGCTTCTGGCCCGGTGTGTCGGGGACAGAAGAGAAGGCAGCGCAGGCAGCTGGGGAGGCAGTGCCCACGGCGGGGGATCCAGGGGAGAGCCGAGGAGAGGAAGCTGGCTGATGATGGAACAGGAGTTCTTCAGAACCCAGGGAAGGGGACGAGTCAGGCTGACGGTGCTTTGGTCTTCAAGGTGGAAGCCTGGTTTCCTCCAGTGACAAGGACATTTAATTCCCAGGAGGTTTGACTTCTAGCGGCTGGGCATTCTCTATCTGGGACTTGACCCTGGGGAAGGGGGTCACCTTGGTAAGAGTGAGTCAAGCACAATGCCCAAAGCCATGCTGAGGGCATTGTCATTTCCCTGGTCACAAACACCGCTGTGGCACTACTGTGCCTCCATTTCCTCATCTGTAAAATGGGAATAATAATGCCTCCCAGGGTTGTGGCGAGTGAGGTTCAGAGGAGGCAGTATACAAAACGGGCTTCAGTAAAGTTTAGAGCGGTCTGTGTGAATGCCGGGTGGCGGCGTTGTTGTTATTAGACACAGCCTCAAAGTGGCTGTTGTGTTTAACTTGTCAGTCTAGATACGGGCGAACCTAATGCCCTTCTTTCTCCAAAGAGAATCTCCCAGCCCTTTTACAGTGAGTCTGCTTCTCTTGAAGATGCTTGTCCCTTTCGGGGTTATATGCAGTTTCCCCTTCCCAGATCTTAGAGCCTTGTTTAGGCCCCCACTGGTTGGCCAAGTCTTCAATGCTGGTGAGACCCAACTGGGTCATTTCTGGCACAGCCAGGGAGCTCGCCATGTGCCCTAATTATAGAGGATTGTTCCTGAGACTGAACTGTTCAGAGTTGGGGTCAAGATTTCCAGTGACTCTGGGAAATACAGGGGCCCTCCCATGGGCTGCCAGGGACAGTGCAGGTTGGGTGAGGCCCAGTAACATGACAGCAATGAGCATCTGAAGAGTGCTTCAGGGTCTGCCAAGAGCCTTATACATATTATCTCATCTGATCCTCGCAGCCCTGTGAAGTAGGAACTCTTGCTATTCCCATTTTACAGAGGAGGAAACTGAGGCATAGAGGAGTTAAGTGACTTGCCCAGGGTTACACAGCTAAGTAAATATCTGAGGCAAGATTTGAACTCAGGTCTTCCTGACTCTAAATCCTGGACCTAACTTCCCACTCCTTAGTCATTTTTTTAGTATTATTTGGTGTTTTGCATATGTGGAAGTGCGGATGTGCATGCTGACCCTGCACATTCTCAGTATCCATAGGGAAATTGTTTTGTTGGGAAAGTCAGGTGAAGAATGTCCAAGTGGCCACCTGGCTTTAGCATTTATGTGTTGGGTAACCTCCACTGGCTAAGACTCTTAGGCGCCACACCTCCTCAGCCCTGGCCATGATTTACAGGTCATTGTGGCCATGCAGGCTCTTTTTTTAATACCTCCAGTGATGAGGAACTCATTACCTGAGTGAGGTGACCCATTCCATTTCTAACAGATCTAATTGTTAGGGAGTATTATTATGTAACACATATATTTCCTTGTAACTTCTCCTAGTCCTCATTCTGCCTTCTGGGGCCAAGTACAAGAACTCTGATTCATCTCTGCCATGCCAGCCTGTCAGATGTTTGAGGATAAGGACTATGTCACCACTGAGTCATCTTTGCTTCTGATCAGTCCATCCCAAGTTCTCCAGACCAGCCCCCTGACCTGGTTTCAGACTCACCTTTCCGGCTTTTTTCTTGACACCAACTTCAGATCACATCATGCTGATTCATGTCAAGTTGGCAGTTGGCTAAAAGCCCAAGTCTCATTGGGGTGAGACCCTGTAGAGCCACACAGCTCTGATCCCGGACTTATGTAATGTATGAACCCAAGCTCAGGACTTTACACTTCTCTCTCTCAAATATGTCATTAAGGGAGATGGGAGAAGGCTTCTTGTAGGAGAGATTTTAGCTGGAACTCATAGGAAGCCAGGGAGGTCAGTAGTCAGAGCAGAAGAGGGAGAGTGTTCCAGGCCTGGGGGGTGGCCAGAAAAAAGGAGCGACTTGTTCACTGAACAGACAGGAGGCCTGTATCACTGGATCAAAGAATATATGGTGGGGAGTAAGGTATAAGAAGACTGGAAAGGAAGAGAGCATTTAGTATTCCATCCCAGAGGGTATTGAATGACATGGTCAGATGTTCACTTTAGGAAGATAATTTTGACAGTTGAGCACAGGATGGACTGGAGTGGGAGGGGCTAGAGGCAGGCAGACGACCCGACCCCCCAGCAGGCTCTTGTAATGGTCAAGGTGTGAGGTGATGAGGTTCTGTACTATGTTGAGGGTTGTGTTGGAAGACAGAAGGGTATTTGAGAGATGCTGCGGAGGTGAGATGGACCAGAAGTACTACAGAAGTGAAATCGACCAGAGATGTTACAAAGGTGAAATTGATGGGGGGGGGCGGAGGTGAGAGAGAGTGAGGAGTCTGGGATGAATTCCTAGGTTGCAAGCCTGGGAGGTTGAGGGCGCCCTCTACAGTAATAGGGAAGGTAGGAGAGGGGAAGTAGGCATGGGGAAAAGATAACGAGTTTTGTTTTGGCCGTATTGAGTTCAAGATGGACACCCAGTTGGGGATATCTGAAAGGTTGTTGAAGATGCAAGATTAGAGGTCGGCAGAGAGATTGGGGCAGGAAAAGGTAGATGTGAGACTCATCAGCGTAGAGATGGAGCTGATGAGAAGGAAAGGTCAGAGAATGGGGTGGGGTGGGGAGTAGGGGAAGTTGTCCTGAAAACCTAGCGAGAAGTGTCCGAGAGAGGAGTTGGTCATAAAGGGTCTGTGATGTTGTCAATATGGGGACTCTTGGTATGGGAACCCCCTCCACCAATGCAGAGTGCAGCCCGTTTTTGACTTAGTAGCTGAGTTTTAGGGAGTTGCCTGATGTGCCCCTCCTCACTTGGGCTCTTGACGTATCCTGTCAGCCTGGCTGCTCTTATCTCTTGTCCTTCTGTACGAGTTCTCAGCTTCCATGACAGCATGAATCCCATACTGCCAAGCATCAGTGGTGTCAGAGAACTCATATTTTCTTCTTTTGCACTGAAATCTTGGTTCACTTTGTTCATCACCCTTACATCACATCACTACTTCAGGCCTCTCTTGGGTGACACACGTTTCTCCCTCTTGTCTTCTCAATACCAGTTGTAAGTGTCTGGTGCCCATCGGAGGCTCTGGCACCTAGTGAGCCCTTAATGAATAGTGCTGCTCTCAGACCATTTCTTTCTCCCCAGGCTCTGGCCTCTCTAGGAAGATTGACTGCAAGGGGGTCCTTCTGCCTTCTCATACAGGGGTGTAGGACTTGCCTTCCACACAGAGGTCGATCGGCTTCAGCAGGAACACAAACAGAGCCGTTTCACAGGCCGTTTCCAGACTTCCTGGATTTTAAGCCATTGGATCTCAGGCTTTCATTCTTTATCGTTCCCCACCCCGGTTAAAATCCAGCTTCTTAGACTCGTCTGCTTCTGGGAGGCACCAGTCACCTGAACTTTCCAATTCTCTTCTAACCTTTTCCCATTATTAGATGCTAGTTTGCCAGGTGAAAGCAGTCATCCAACAGGAATCCGTTAATCTACTAAATGTCAATAGTCACCACTAGTGTTAAACGTGCATGTGATTTATCATTTACTTACCTGCAGCCAACGGCAGATAATCCAAAAATCACTTCTTTTGGCATGAAAATTTATTATGTGGGTTGTTGGTATATGTGGATAAAGTTGGGTGTGGTTTTGGTGTTGCATCTACCCAATTATGTTCTGGCTCTGATCAACTCGGAGTGAGTTTTCACTCCTTGAGCACAAGCCGGCTGACTGCCCCAGGAGGAGCCAGAATGAAGATGTTCGGACTGGCGGGGTGGAGGTGGGGTGGAGCCCCACACAGATCCCCGTGCCCCTGCTCCAGGTGGACGAATGTCTGTGACGTCACGAGCCTGTTTTCCCAGGAACTGGTCAGCTGGCTGCCCTGGAGCTCCTCTATGTGTCTGGTGAAGCCAGCCATCCTGAGCCGGGGGAGCTCACAGACCTGACTGCTCAGCACTTCATTCGCTTTGGGTCCCAAAATATCCAGACCACCACCTCAAAACACCTCGTTGTAAGAAACCTGACGTGAGTGGTCCTCGCCTGGCTTGGCTTTGGGGTGGGGACCTGCGAGGAAGTTTGCTTTGATAGGTCTTGCCAGGTGGGCTTTCCCAAGAAGTGACCCTGCCAGGGCCTGGCTCAGTGGTATTTCCTGGGGAAGCAGGGCATTTTTGCTGGTATTGGTGGAGATGGACACATGTGATGGGATAGGAGATGTCTCATGATGTGGAAGCATGAGCTTTGGAAGTCATGACTTAGAATCCCTCCTTGTGTTTGCCACGCACTAAGTCCCGGGTGGCCTTCAGCAGGTTCCTCAGTCCCAGGATGGTGGGGGTAAGACCTCCAGGAAGGGTTGGGAAGCTGCATTTAGAGCAGGCTTCGTGGCCCTGCAGTGGGTGGGCCACCTTAGTGGGGCCTCAGATCCCCTTGCCTACTTGTTCCCCATTTTCGCTGTAAAAATTGGGGATCCAGGCCCCATGGTCCTTTGGATGAGACCCCCATGATGAGGAGAGTCGAGATCCTCCTCGCCAGCCCCCCAGGGCTCCTGCTGTCAGAGGAGACTTAACTAGCCCTAGGCAAGGACAAAGGCCACCCTGATCCCTATCTTGTGGCTTCACAAGGTCTTTGCTTTGCTGCAGGCACGTGGCCCTGCCCTTTCACTGGCAGATCGTGAAGCCCAATCTACTGCCACTGATGCTGGGAGAAATCTGGAGGTCTAAGGACATCAAGTACTACCCTGACTCCGAGACCGCCTTCTACGTCACTCCCGGGAAGGGCAGCCTTCAGCCTCATGCCGACCATGAATTCATCCTGAGCTTTTCTCCCGAGCAGGTAAAACGGAGAGCGTGGCGTGTCCACACTTCAGGGAGTGCCATGAAGGCTGACTGAAATTTTGTCTAATGACGTTGAGGGAAAGACGATGTGTGGTCTGTGGGTAGAAAGTAAAGTGGGCAGCCGGAGCCTGGCCTGGCAGAGAAGGGGCCAGCTGCCTTCCTGTTACCCTGGCGACCTCACGACCTCAGGAGGCCTTCCAAGTCTGGGATTCTCTGCTTCTCTCCTTGGGCTGCCACTTACTGTTTTAGGAGGAGATGAGGGGAAAGCAGGAGACAGAAATCATTTTAGTGGATTTTGACTGTTTGGGGACTTTATTATTTCTAACAATGTCACTCCTAATAGTCTATATTTATATACTATATACATTTACTATATATACTATATACTATATACTATATTTATGTAGCATTTTTTGGTTACAAGACTTTTGCACATGGATAATTTTGTTTGATCCTCACAGGAAGCTTATGAGAAAGGCAGCTGAAGTCTTCCCCCCCCTCCCCATCTGGGCTTCCTCCATTTCTTCCTCTCTCAAACCAGAGGCCTGGACTCGATGGGCCCTCAGGGCAATTCCTTTCCTCGTTCCAGAGATCCTTAGTGGAGAGATGTGTCCTTCCCCCCTCCCCAGCTCCCCAAGACCCACAGGGAGAGGACAGGGGCTCATCTGGACACCTTTTGTCTTCCAGCTGAAAAACTACCACAGTGTGATCCAGATTGTGCTGGAAGAGGTCCCAGTCCCCATTGGGTAAGCGGAGAGCGTCCCTCGCCCCAGTGGGGGGGTTCAGGAGACTTTGCTCTTCTTTTCCTTAGCCATTGTAGGGGCCTGAAAACCAACACCTGCCAATTTTTGCTCTTGGGAGGAGGCCTGCTTGTGCTCATGGCCCTGCCAGCTTCCACGAGCTGCTGGCCCTGAGGGTGGGGGGTGATCTGGGCTCTGCCCATGGCCGGACTTGGAGGCTGTCTCTGGGAGCAGTTGTGGCCTGACCAAATCTCTGCCGCTTCTATGTGTTTCTGGGGCAGTTCAGATTTCATCCTGTCACGGACAGGGCCCCACAGCGAGACTGCCCCTGCTTCGGTTAGGCAGGGGCAGCATTGGCTGATGGAATGGCCAAGGTGGTCCTCTCATTCAATGCAGCCATAGTGCGGGTTTGGGGGGGATCAGTCATGTTTTCCAGAGCCTAGCACTGGCTCTGTGTTAGGGTGATGGTGGCCACTGACAGCCCTCACATCTGACCCTGCCTGAGGAGGCCTAAGTGTGAATGGAATCTCAAAGTGTCCTGGGCTTGCCTGAATCTCCAAGCTAAGCCTTGGTTTGTGACCCTTTAATTTTCCCACTTACATTTTATGCAGAACCAGAAAGAGATTCAAAATTCAGGGAGGTTTCTTGTAAAACTTTGCTTCCGCAACTTATACCGGCCATAAGAAATCAACTTGTTGTTATGCTTTTATGAAAATCATCTTTTTCTGATTAAACAGGTAACATTGCTTGGTAAAGGTGTAGGAATTTCCACTTTTTGTATTTGGATGGAAGCTAGGTATTATGTGTGGCAGAAGTGAGTAGAGATGGTATCATGGACATGGAGCACAGCCTGGGCAAAAGATAGAGGATTGTGGACAGAGAAGAGCCAGTGGATCTTAAAGAGTCACATGCAAAAAGTTCGGAAGGGGAGGCCAGTGCTAGCTTTTAGAAGTCAAACAGTGGAGCTTGTCTTTCATAAAACCCAGTGTCAAGAGGGAGCCCCTGGGACTTCCTGGGCAGGGGAGTGAAATGGCCAAACTTTGGAAGGCAGTCAGGAGAAGGGAGGCCAGTCAGGAGGCACCTGCAGGGTCTGGGCAGAAGGCGCCAAGAGCCTGAGGAATAAGCATTTATAGAGTCCCCACTATGCGCCAGGCACCCTAACCCTAATCTGCTCGCTTCACTCCGCATCAGACCATACAAGTCTTTCCTGGTTTCTCTGAAGTCCGCCTGCTCGTCATTTCATATAGAACAATAGTATTCTATTACATTCATATACCCCAACTTGTTCAGCCATTCCCCAATGGATGGGCATCCCCTCAATTTCCAATATTTTGCCACCATAAAAAGGCTGCGATAAATATATTTGCACATGTGGGTCCTTTTCCCTTTATTTTTTTTTGTTATCTCTTTGGGATATAGACCTCGCAGTGGCATTGCTGGGTATGCACAGTTTTGTAGCTCTTTGGGCATAGTTCCAAATTGCTCTCCAGAATGGTTGGATCAGTTCACAACTCTACCAACAATGCATTGGTGTTCCAAGTTTCCCGCATCTTCTCCAACATTTATCATTTTCCTGTTTTGTCATGTTTGCCAATCTGATAGGTGTGAGGTAGTACCTCAGAGTCATTTTAATTTGCATTTCTTTGATCAATAGTGATTTAGAGCATTTCTTCATATGCTTATAAATAGCTTTAATTTCTTCATCTGAAAACTTTGTTCATATTCTTTGACCATTTATCAATTGGGGAATGACTTGTATTCTTATAAATTCGACTCAGTTCTCTATATAGTTGAGAAATGAAGCCTTTATCAGACATACTGGCTGTAAAGATTGTTTCCCAGCTTCCTGCTTTCCTTCTAATCTTGATTGCATTGGTTTTGTTTGTGCAAAAGCTTTTTAATTTAATATAATCAAAATTATCTATTTTACATTTGGTATTGCCATCTATCTCTTGTTTGGTTGTCAACCTGTAACTCATTTAACTTCTACTTCAAGAATTTGGGTGCTATATTATTATGAAAAATTGTGGATTCTGGTTTTTTTTTAATGTTTTTTAATTTATTTTTTTTAGGCAATTGGGGTTAAGTGACTTGCCCAGAGTCACACAGCTAGTAAGTGTCATGTGTTTGGTCTGAGGCTGGATTTGAACTCATGTCCTCCTGACTTCAGGGCCAGTGCTCTATCCACTGTGCCACCTAGCTGCCCTTGGGTTTCTGGTTTTTGATCCACACTCTGCTCTCCTCTTCCATTTTATGGGAGAATTCATCCCATTCACATGAACAGTTATGATTACTGTGTATTTCCCTCCATCCTTTTTTCTCTCCCCTTTGTCCTCTCTCTCCTTTCGACCTTTCCCTCTTCGACAGTGTTTTGCTTCTACCACCTCCCCGATCTGTCCTCCCTTCTGACAGTCCCTCACTCCACCTTTATTTAATCTCCTCCCCTCCTACCTTCCTGTTGTATAAGATAGATTTCTATATTAAACTGATTGTGTATATTATTCCCTCTCTGACCCAATACTGATGACAGTAAGGTTTAAGCAATACCCGTCTCCCACCCTCCCATCTTTCCCTCCACTATAATGTCTTTTATGGGAATTGGAAATAGAGGGGATGCCCATCAATTGGGGAATGACTGAACAAGTTGTGGTATATGAATGTGATGGAATACTGTTGTGCTATAAGAAATGAGGAGCAGGCAGACTTCAGAAAGACCTGGAAAGACTTGTATGGACTGATGCCGAGTGAAGTGAGCAGAGCCAAGAGAACATTATACACAGTAACAGCCACATTATGTGATGACTAACTCTGATAGACTTAGCCCTTCTCAGCAATGCAGGGATGTAAGACATCTCCAAAAGTCTCATGATGGAAAATGCTATCCACATCCAAAGAAAGAACCATGGAGTATGAATGCAGATCCGAAGCATACTATTTGCTCTTTTTTGTTTGTTTGTTTGTTTGTTTTGTTTTGTTTCCTCTTTCTGGTGGTTCCTCCTATTGGTTCTAATTCTTTCTTACAACATGACTACTGTGAAAATATGTTTAATGGGAATGTATATGTAGAGCCTGTATCAGATTGCACACCATCTTGGGGAGGTAGGGGGAGAAAAATTTAAAATCCAGAAGCGTATGGCAGTGATTGTTGAAAACTAAAAATAAATTAATAAAAAAAAATAGGTCTTTTGCACCCTTCATGTGAAATAATTTACCTCATTCTACCTCTCTGTTCTTTCTGCACTCAGTGTGCTCTTCTTTCTCATCCCTTAATTATTTTTAATGTCATTCTCTCAAATTCACCTTATACCCATATCCTCTATCTATGTATATTCCTTCTAGCTGTACTATTAGTGATACAGTTTTAAAGAATTACAAGTCTATTTCCATGTAGAGATGTAAACAGTTCAGCTCTGTTGAATCCCTTATGTTTTCTTTTCCTTTTTACCTGTGGATGCTTCTCTTGGGACTTGATATTGGAGATCAAATTTTTGGTTTAATTCTGGTCTTCTCTTTATGAAAGCTTGAAACCCTTCTATTTGGTTGAATGACTATTTTTTCCCTTGATGTATCATGCTTAATTTTACTGGGTAAGTGGTTCTTGGCTGTGGTCCTAGCTCCTTTGCCTTCAGGAATATCATGTTCCACGACCTCTGATCTCTTCATGTTACAGCTGCTAAGTCCTGTGTGATCCTGACTGTTCTCCTCCCTAATATTTGACTTGTTTCTTTCTGGATACTTGCAGTATTTTTTCCTTGACCTGATAGTTCAGCATTTTGACTCTAATGTTCCTCAGAGTTTTTATTTTGGGATCTCTTTCCTGAGGTGATTGGCGGATTCTTTCAGCGCCTGCTTTGCCTCGGGTTCCAGTATATCAGGGCAGTTTTCCTTGCTAATTTCTTGAAAGATGCTGTCCAGGTCCTCCTTCTGATTATGGATTTCAGAGAGTCCAGTGATTCTGACATTATCTCTCTTGGATCTATTTTCCAGGTCAGTTGTTTTTCCCATGAGGTGGTGTACATTTTCTTATATTTTTTTCATTCTTTTGAATTTGTTTGATTGACTCTTGATCTCTCATAGAGTCTTCAGCTTCCACTTGCCCAATTCTGACTTTTAAGAAGTTGTTTTCCTCAGTTAGCTTTTGCACCTCCTTTTCTGTTTGGCCAGTTGTACAGTTTAAGGAGTTGTTTTCTTCACTGGATTTCTGCATCTCCTTTTCCATTTGACCAATTCTACTTTTTAAGCAGTTGTCTTCTTTTTCCAAGCTGTTGACTCTTTTTTCATAATTCTCTTGCATCACTCTCATCTCTTTTCCCAATTTTTCTTCCACCTCTCTTATATGACTTTTAAGCCCTTTTCTGAGCCCCTCCATAAGGTATTTCTAGACTTGAGACCACTTCTCGTTTTCCTTTAGGGTTTTGCCCATGGCTGTTTTCACATTGTTGTCCTCTTCTGAGCTTGTGTCTTTATCTTCCCTGTCACCATAATAATTCTCTGTAGTTGGATTCTTTTTTGTTGTTTCTTGTTCATCTTTTTTGGCCTTTTTCCTGTCTTTTAAATTTGAGCTTCCAGGGTAGAAGGGGCACTGTCTCAGGCTTCTTGTGCCAGGGACTGCAGGCCCTGGCTGTTTACCTGGTGCTGCACTGATATTACCCTGAGGCCTACTCATGTCTGGTGCTGCACTGAGGGGGTGGAGTGGGGGGTGACTGGCACTGCTGGGAGCTGTAGGGGTCTGGCAGCTTGGCTGGTGCTGACCCGGGGTCCCAGTGCTGGTGTCTGGTATGTGCTGAGGCTGGTGGGATATTTCTATGTTTCCCTGGGACTGCACTGAAGCTTGTGGGGGGAGCTGGCCTTGGTGATTGCCTGTTTGCTTAGGCACCAGTGGGGTTGGCATCTGCCTGTTTGCCCGGGGCTGTGCTGAAGCCTGTGGAGGTCTGGCCTGGAGGTTGCCTGTTTGCCCAGGGCTATGCTGAAGTACTTGGAGGTTCTTAAGCTGGAGTCTGCCTATT